CCCCAAAACCCCAAAACCCCTAGATAGTTTTATTGGTATAAAAATGGTCTTCAAGTAATTTAAAACATTAAAAAAATAAATTATTATTCTTAAATAACCATGGAAATCTTTGTAAAAAAGCATGTAAGCTTGAGACTAAAGGTTTAAAAATTAATTTAGGAATCAATTAATAAGATTAATTGGCTTTCATCTTTACCAGCTAAATATAGAGATGAAATTATAACTTCATTTTTAGATAATAACTTGGATGTTAAGAAAAATCACTCCTATAAGATAGTAGTTGATTTGCTAGGTAAATCAGGTTTAAGCGACCAGTAGCTATCAGATATCAGCTAGGTACTTAGGAATAGCACAATAAGTAGTAAAACCTTGAATATTAGCAAATAATATGACTAAAAACAAGAATTAAATACATGAGAAGATTTGAAACTATCTTTTAATAAGCACTTTCTCAACCGTAAGTATTTTGACTAAAATTAAAAAAATCAAGCGACATTCAATTCATCGCTTAAGTTCCATTTAGAATTTATTGAGGACTTGAAATTTATGCGGTTATAAAGGAAAAAAGAGAATTTAAATGAACAAAGTCAAAGTGCTATGAATATTCAAACTTAGAGAATTCTTCCCAAATTAAGGTATTCTCCATAACTATAGGTAATTTCTATTTTAAAATGTTTTTTACAGCTTGTTGAAACTGATTTGAAAATTTATGGTGAATAAACAAACATATAATCGGCTGATAGGAAATCTCCAAATAATCTACATAATTTTTTGCACTAAGATGAATTAGTTATCTAAGATTAAGCAGCTGATCCCAACATTACAGCTTCTTAAGACCCTAAATATCTGAATAAAATAAGCGAGGAATAATTTGAAGGGCAATCCTCCTTTGAGTAAAAAAGAATTAATCATATTATTAAAGAGGAAAATTCTAAAAATAAAATTTCCTCAATAAGATTCTCCAAAAAAAATATAAAAAACAAACAGAAACTTCATATTCCTATGCCTAAAAGAGCTAGTTTTGAGAATAGATCTCTTAATGATTTTTCTGATTAGGCGACATCAAAGCTTTCTTAAATGGACCTCTAGTCTTTAACTTAAAATGAAGGAAATCAAATGCGTAGACTAGATTTGTCTGGTAGCATGAGAAATTAAACTCCCATTTTCGATAGAAAAGTTGAGAAAGATATAAATTATAACTATTTACCTATTCCAATCTAAACAAGAGACTTAAGGCATTTAAAGGTACTTAATGAAGATTTAATGAATGTCACTCAAAGTGGAACTGGTTCAACTAATAAAAATAGCTATCTTGTTAATAAGTATTGTATACCTAAACCATTAAAGGTCTCCAAAAAATTAGAAAAAGAAAAAAGCAATGGAGAATTACTGTATTTAGAATAATAAAGAGAACAAAGGAAAGATAAATTTTAGAAAATATAACAAGACAATTTAGATAAAAAGGAAAGAGGCTTGATTGGTGCAAAGCTTAAAAAAGAAAGATTAGAGAGATAATTGAAAAAACTAAGACCATTAAGTTCATTATGTGAGGCTGAATAGCATAACGCTTCAACTGGAAATGTATAGGTGATGGTCACAAAGTAATCGATTAAGATTTAAGATATGTCTCCTCTTAATATCCATAGCATTAATAATGCCACAATAATTATTCCAGTATTAGACATGCTTGAAAAAACAGGGTTTTAGTCTAGGCTAAAGGCTTAGACACCATCATTTAAATTTGATGTCAATCATAGAAATGGACCAGGATAATCGTCTTAATCTCCACTTTCAATGAACAGGACTGGAGGTCCTAATTATAACTAAAGACCGCCTCTAGCTAAACTTATAATGCAATCTTTATCTCCTTAGAAAGCTAGAAGATCCACCTAAAGACACTCATCTACTATGTCTAGACGTATTGATAATAACTCAAAGAATAATAGCAAAAATACGAGGTAGATACAAAATAAATAATAAGACAGCTTTAGTTCTAGTAAAAATATTCATCAATAGTTAAAGCCAAAACACTCTCGAGATCATGTCATTAATTTTAGCAACTCTAAAATAAGATAAAAAATAGCTCGACTGATTGAAAGTAAGAAAGGTTCGATCTAGTATGATAATGATGACGACTTTGAAGAAGGTGATGAATCAATCTTAAACTCTCATATGCTCTCCTTGCAGGAAAAAGCTTAACAGTCTTATATGAATAGATCAGCTGAAGAGATTATAATAAAACCAGAGGATGAACTCTATATAAAGTTTTTAAAGTTCAAACAAGCTAGAGAAGTCAAAAGAGAGGGGTATGTTACTTTTAAGAAAGAATAACCATCAAGTTCTAATCACTAATCAGGTTAAACTACCATATTTGGTTCTTAAACATGAGATATTCTGTAATTCTCAATTAATTATATCCTTATTCAAATTATTTATTGTTAATTTCCTAATTTTTTCTTTTCAAAGATTTACAACAATTAAACTATCCGGGGTTTTGGGGTTTTGGGGCCCATTTAATCCAATTGTAGGAGAAACCTT